CTTCTGACATCCTCTAGTTTTCCATGTTCTCATCAGCACTTAGTACTTGGAATTTCTGAGTGCATTTATTTTGTAGTGGCTCTTGCTTAGCATTTGAGCCATTGTGGATGTCCACTTCAAGGCATTCTAACTTGGGTTACTACAGTCAGACCCCTCAAATACACACGCCAAGGAGCTGCTGCTAGGTAGAAGTTCTTGCGTCCAGCACATTCGTCACTGACCACAGTTGTATACAGCCTATGACTATGGCCAGTGATGTAGCACTGCATGCCTGTGGGTCTCTAAGGTTAATATTTGCCAAAGAAATAACCCACATGTATTGGGTCAAGCAGCATAGGGATGTGCTTTCTATTGGTATGTAGAAAGAGGTTGATAACACACCAACGTTTTGGCTACTGCTAAGCAATGCTTGAACAACATCAAGGCTGTGCCTCCAATATTCCACACACACACACACCAGTGGGCTGGAAGGGGGCAAGATCTAGCTGCACTTAAAGCTCCTTGGCAGTGCCAGGGTATCAAGAAATAAAGGTTGCAAAATACAAATAATATGGCTTTCCACTGAGGCTGGGGAGTGGGGCTGAGCTGGAGGGAGTGCCTGGTGTCCGGTTCATGCCCTGCTCCTGAAATGAAGTGATTCCCAAACCTGCTGAGCAGCACCAACCTATTAAAAAGCTCAAGAAAGGCCAGTTAGCTCCACAGACTGGAAACAGGTATTTTTCCTTTTGCTACTGGGGGTGGCCTTTGCTTTTTTTTTTTTTTTTTCTTCATTAAACTGCCTTTATCTCGACCCACGAGCCCTTTGATTTACTTTTCTCTCCTCTGTCTGGTTAGAGGGGAGTGATAGAGCAGCTTTGGCGGGCCCCTGGCATCCAGCCAGGGTCAAACCACCACACCACCCTTGTTTTCTGTTGAATAATTAAGGAACTTGATAGCAAAGAGGAGATTCTGACCACCTGCAATGGATCCGGTGGAACAGGCAGCACAGAGGGCAGGAGCTCAGACCAGAACTTGCAGATGCTATGTACTCAGAAGTCAAACATTACTTCTTTTCCATTACTGGTTGTTAGGAAATTCTTGTGTCAAACACGGCGGGGGGGGGGGGGAGAGAGGGGGCAGGTTTTTCCCTGAGCTACATCGATAATGAAATTTCTGCTTAGCATTCCAGGAAGTGTAACGCAAGTTGCTTTCAGTTGATTTCACAGCAAGCTGCCAATGCTGTTAAGCCTACCGTCATGAAGAGCGCTGGTCCCTGGTGGACTGCTGGCTGCAGAACAGCAGTGACTCATGTTTTGCTACTCTGCAGCAAAAAGTCTTGCACTGCTCTAGAAGTCGGACACTGAGCTGTTAACTCCTTGGAACTTCAGTTGTTTCGTGAGCGCCGTCTGCTAAAAGGATGGCGTTGTTAGCCTGGAAAGCTGGCTGTCAGAGCTGTCACTGAAAATACTGAAGGAAATGCCATCTCTTGAGAAGTTTGTGAACTGAAAGTACTGGGAACTTACCTATGCCACACTGCTCGTTAGGAATGGTGCTCTCTTAGTGGAGTCAATTTACATTTTCTACACCAAAAGATAGCAAAACCTCTCTCGTTCCCCAAAGTAAATGTTTCAGGAATGGCAATAGGTTCCTTCTTTCCCTGCTCTCCCTGCACCAAAGAACAAACCCTGTAGACCTGTTTTACAGCTGAAGTCTGTAATGCAAATAAAAGATCTGTTCATTTGTTACTCACACTAAAGCTAAAACAAAGACTGGAAAGTGTGCCAAGAGCAATCCTTATGCAATTCAAGGGGAAAAGAAAAAGCACATAGTAAAAAAAACCAACCCCAAACCAAACATGATCCTGTCCCAGCCTAGACTTCAAAGCTATGAAGGATTTAGATGTGTCTGTTGCAAGCTGGGTGGAAGAGAAGAACAGAGTGTGACTGCAGTCATGTCAGACCTTACGAAGCACATGTATTTTGTGTGTACAAGTGCTTAAGTGACTATACTATGTAAACAGCATTTTTACAGATGTAAGACTGCATTCCCACTGCTGCCAGCACTTCATTCCCTCTGTTAATACATCAGTGTGACACAGGAGAAAGTCATCCCCACTCTGCTTACTGTAGCTCTAAGAAGAGCACCTGGGCTCCACGTGCCAAGAACTTAAAATCTCCATAACGAAAATATTGCAAGATGCGTGGAAGCTTTGACAAACACAGTATTTCTTCATAATTTTTTTTTTAATTTAAAGAATACCATCATATGAAAATTTCGTAACACTTTAATTCAAGGGAGATGGCAATGGCATCAGGTAGGAATACTTCAATCCTGTACGTGAAAGGCAACGGGCATAGTTGGGTAGCACCATCCATGCTGTGTTAATTCCCAGCCTTCAGGGATGAACACTTGCGACTTACTGCAGCTAGGCAGTGAAAGCCCAGCAGCCGATAGCCATGCTTCATTTATTCATGTGCGGGATCAGGTTGTCATTATATGGCATTGCTGTCATCCTCCTTGAATGAAAAGAGGCATTGCATCATAGGCTGCCAGAAATTAAAGACCAACTTGTTCCCGGCAAAAGAGAAGGTGACCAAAGGACTAGGCAACTTTTGACAGACTGGTGGAAGTTATTACCATGCAAGAAGACAGGTAGGTACCTAGTGATGAAAACACACTCTCCTTCCTCTGAAATACTTCTCTTCTGATTCTTTGCCCCTTGGGAAGCAGTGGTGGGATGCGAGCCAAACCAGCATTGAAAGCAACAGCTGATACATAGGGGACTAAGGGAAAATTCCATTTTGAGCCCAGCGAACCCCAGGCTTCCCAGGGCCTACAGAAAATGACCCAAGAGAGAACAGCAGAGGGGTCAGCACAGGGCTGAGCCGACCTGCTTTAGCAGCAACTTGCATGCTCAGACTTGCAGGTTCAGAGAATTCACTACAGTATTTCCATTTCAAATTATTATGGAATAAGTGATGCGGTTATATTTAGTGTCTGTTTCCCTTGTATTTGAATGCTTCAGTGAAAACAGTTCCCACTTCCACGAAACACACACACACTCCCACCCCAAAACAGGGGTTGGTTACTGTTCAAAATACATTTCAATGAGAAGGAAAGAAAAGAAATCTCACTCCCAGCCCGTGTTTCCGATTGTAGCAGAAAGGACTGAAGTTTACGTCTATCATAAAGCAGGCAGACCTGTCCTATAGTCAGGGCTGCAGCTTCTCTTCTGTCGCTCCCCTTGCAGAACCAACTAGTAGATTGCTGGTTTTTTTAAATATCCTTCCTGTTTGCATTGCTGTAAACCACTGTCACAGTTTCAACACTTTCTCTATGGAAACACAGTTTGACTCCACCCTTCTCCTAGCAATGGCTGACTGATGACCTGCTGGGGTAGACTTACGAGATGTCCATTTTGGAACAGGCTGAATCTTGCTCTAATGAGTTTCATCAGTACCATGACTCTCCGGACATCGCAGAAAAACTTGGTAAAAAAAATCCTTGAATTAGTACCCAAGTACAGTTCTGCCCAACAGTAGGTCCAGAATCAGCATAGTGATTTGATTTTATTGACCCAAGCTGTGAGCTAGTAACGTGGCCACACCTGACTGTGCCTCAAGCTGCCTCGTAAGGTCAGAGGATTGAATGTATGAGGTCGGTCCATACATGGGACTGATAGTCCTGGTGTAAAGTTCTTCTGCTGATTCCACTCTCTGAAGGGTGGAGAGAGAAAAATGGGCCACTGCTTGTAAAAAGGTGTCAGTACTCTCGCCTGGCCATGCCCTGCATCTCCTCAGTTGTCCCGTCGTCTCATTAAATTTCATTTTTAACTATTCTCCTGGTCGAGGAGCTCTATTCTGTGTGGATGAGAGGAGGGGGGCAGTGTCTGAGTGCCAACAACTGATATCAGACCAAGGCTTGCAGGGACCTGGGCGTCTGTGGTGCCAGCAACTGGAGCGGTAGTGTGGGTGTGTGTGCGCTAGCAAAGCGCAAGCTAGACTAGCCAGCAAGCAGGAGAAGTGGTCCAGGAGGAGTCGCCACAGAAGCATATGGCCACTGCAGGGACAAGGGGGGGTCCTGGCTGATGGCCAGGGAGCTGCGTGTGTGCGAGATGGGCTGCACCAGCAACTGGAGTGGAAACGCAGCCTCAGGGGTTTGTACGTCCAGGTGCCAGCAGCTGGGGAGACTGGGATACAGGGGCAGTTACTGGGCAGACTGCGTGTCTGAGCCCAGCTGCTGCAGGGATTCACACTGGAATTTTGCGTCCATTACTGGAATATCTATATTAGACGTATTCTTTTATGTTATAAAAATATAGATTTATATATATATGAACATGTTACTGGAAAAAATATATTTTGTATGTGCATACTATTTATATGTACCGCAGTAACAGGCTTCATCGTGATCAGCCAGAAAGGGGAACAGGATGAGGCCACTGGTGCTGTTTATGTGAATGCTAACTGTACCCGCCTATGCTGATCTGTGTGGCCACCTGCACATATACACACATACATGCTGTATATGTGTGTTTGTGTGTGCAAGCCTGGGAATACACTCTCAGCCTCGCTACTGGGGGCAGAAACCTGTGGCTGCTGTATTCCTGTATTCAGCTCCCCCTGACATTTAATTTCTCTGGGCCCAGCCTTACTGCTTCTCCTCATACTAAAGAATCCTTAAATATTCAAGTAATCCCACTGAGTCTGTTGCTAAAAACGTTCTAGTAAAATCACACAGGATGTAAGTCTGAGTGAGGATGGGTAGCACCATGGCAATCTACTTGAGGACAACCTTTTTAGCAAGGTCTGCTGTGACAGGACAAGGGTTAATGGTTTTAAACTAAAGGAGGGTAGATTTAGACTGGATACGAGGAAGAAATTCTTTATAAGGAGGGTGGGGAAACACTGGAACGGGTTGCCCAGAGAGGTGGTGGAGGCCCCATCCCTGGAAGCATTCAAGACCAGGTTGGACGGGGCTCTGAGCAACCTGATCCGGTTAAAGGTGTCCCTGCTCACTGCAGGGAGGTTGGACTAGATGGCCTCTAAAGGCCTCTTCCAACCCAAAACATTCTATGATTCCATGATATTTAAAAACTAGATATCCCAAACCTCACAATTTTTCTCAAATTTTTTCTAGTTTTTGTCATCACAACCTTCCTTCCACCAGTCTGCGAGGAAAGAAGGTAGGCGTAGTTTTAAACCTGCCTCAGAAATAAAATTGCTACCTAGATTGAAGTCATACTAATGGTTTTAGGAAGTAATCCTTTACTTCCAGTGTTCCTCATGCAGGTCCTTATTTTGGTTTGCTTTATTTTTATTTAACAGTACTGTAAAAGCCTGGTGTTAGGCAGCAAGAGGTGCATGGAGTCAGGCTCTCTGTCAGAGCATGCTGCTCCAGGGCTGGGGCAGAGGGTGTCTGTGCCGCTCTGCCCACTGATCCTGATCTGTCAGCAGACCCAGGTTCCTCCCATAACAGATTTGGGTGATAACATACAGTGAATTTTCCTTAGGAACTCTCTAGAGTTCATAAGCTGCAGTGTTTTCACAGGCAACGTGGCACGTTCTTCACAACCACACCAGCCATCCCAAGCAGAACTTAAGTCGCCCAGTGCTTGCCTTCGGCCTCCCAACACGCGAGAAATGAGATGAGGCATCCCGAGAAGCCTGGCATACTACAGCTGCTAAGGCAGGCTGCGGTCTCTCGCATTAGTGGCAGATGACAGCTCACTTATTTGAACACAGACAAAGAGAAGTCTGCCACGGAGCAGTTCCTGCAGGACTGGAGGGAGGAAACAGCTGACAACTACTTCTTGGATTATAGGGATAAACGTATTTCCAGTGACAGCTTTAGGCTATGTAACTCTAAAATCCTGAATACAATTCAAGGTATTCTTGTACTAGGAGAGGGGTCAAACTAGAAGGCTCTTACTGTTGAAAGCTTAAATCTTCTCTGAAACAAGAAATACATCTGGCATTATTACAGAACCCACTAAGAGCCAAAATAAATGGCAGCATCACTTTCTTAGAGAGACTACAGAGTATGCTGGAGGTTTATTGAGTTTTGCTTTATCTGGGAAAGAAACCGGAAGACACTGCTGGCCTTTGTTAAGCCCGTGAATGGATGCCTTAATACAAATTTCAGCCTCATTGAGCAGGGTACAAATTAACTATCCAAAGGGAACTATATGAGAAAAAGAGGAAGAATGAACCAGCTCCACAGAGATGAAGACTAAGCCCAGACAAGAGAATAACTTTCTTTGAAGAACTAGCTTTCTCATTCTGGTACTGTGAGTGATCCCGGTGAAGTGTTTTACAGAACAAAAGAGGATGTAGCTTAATTTTCTCAGCAAGACATTCAATCCTGTGGATAAAAAAATAGCAACGAAATTGCTCAAATCTGGCAAGTTATGTATGGAAACAGTGCACTGAAGACAAGAAATGGGATCCAGAAAAAGACAGGCATTTGTGTTTTGTTTCCAGCTCTCTAAATGGGAATTCTGCAATTTTAACCTCGGGGGAAGGAGCACAGGCCATTAACACAAACAAGAAGGAAGAAGTAAGCTTAGCCAGTGAGTCATAGCCGCTGTGCAAACTTTGCTGTACATCTGCGTTTTCCCATGCTGCACTGAACCCTTGCCTCTTGCAATGGACAGAATGCCAAATATGAGTAGATCAAATTGTGTTTTTCCACCCTGGGTTTCTCTTTCAACATGAAAAAGTACCCATTAGGGACTAGAGCTGGCACTTGCAGAGGAACCGAGCAGTGTCTCTGGGTCTAAAACTCACTTAACTAAAATTTCCAGGTCCTTCAAACACGGCCTCCAGCCTGCAGAAATGAGCTTCTGTCTCCCCCAGACTGTGCTGGAAATTCCAGGGGTAGATGGGAATAAACAAAGCAAGTGGTCACTTTTAATACATCCCACCTGCTGTCTCAGCAGGCTGAGACACAAACCCTGCCCACTGGAGGAGGCAGGAGGGAAGAGCCTACTGAACATCACTCCCCACTGAGGGCTCTGTGCTGGTTTGGCTGGGACCGAGTTAATTTTCTTCACAGTAGCTCGTATGGGGCTGTGTTTTGGATTTGTGCTGGAAACAGCGTTGATAACACAGGGATGTTTTCGTTACTGCTGAGCAGTGCTCACACAGAGTCAAGGCCTTTTCTGCTCCTCACCCCACCCCACCAGCAAGGAGGCTGGGGGTGCACAAGAAACTAGGAGGGGGCACAGCCAGGACAGCTGACCCCAACTGACCCAAGGGATATTCCAGACAGTATGACCTCATGCTCAGCGTATAAAGCTGGGGGAAGAAGGAGTGGGGGGGACATTCAGAGTTACGGTGGTTTTTTGTCTTCCCAAGTCACTGTTACGTGTGATGGAGCCCTGCTTTCCTGGAGATGGCTGAGCACCTGCCTGCCCATGGGAAGTAGTGAGTGAATTCCTTGTTTGCTTTGCTTGCGTGTGCAGCTTTTGCTTTACCTATTAAACTCTCCTTATCTCAACCCATAAGTTTTCTCATTTTTACTCTTCCAGTTCTCTCCCCCGTCCCACCAAGGGGGGACTGAGTGAGCAGCTGGGTGGGGTTTAGTTGCTGGCTGGGGTTAAACCATGACAGGCTCACCACAGGCTGCCAGCCTGGCCAAAACTCAGCTTCTCAGGCATCCAGACTGAAGGCTGACACTTACATGCTACATTTATGATCAGAAAACATATGGAGTATTTTTGTCTTCAAAAATGAAGGCATGGAAAAGGGCTCAAAGCCTGTTTGCCATCAGAGCAGAAGAGACTAGATGTCTAACACATTAGCCTCTGTCATTTTGGTGTTGACCCCCCCTCCCCCAGTTTTTGCCCCCACAAACAGGAACTGCTGTGTAGCATGCAATGGCCATTTTTCCATCTGCCTTACCACAGCTGGCCTGTGGAGAGTCCTCTCTTTGGCTGGGACAAACCAAGGAGAGAGGTGAAGGACAGGGCATTGACGGCTTCCTTCTCTCCTCCTACGGACATACAAGTAGCATTTAAGAGAGCTCCACAGCTGGGACATATGGAGCAGCCTAGCTACCAAGTCCTACCTCCAAAGGGAGATACCACACTACCTCAGTCCCTTACCTGCTCCGTGCTTACATGTGCTCCTTGCTCTCAGTACACATAGGTTACTGTCCCCATGGAGCTGGGGCTGGGCTGTGGTGGATGCATTTTCAAAGCAGAGGAAATGCCAGTACCCTTGCAACCAAATGCTCTGAGACCAAAGTCCATGAAACAAGCCATTTATCCAGTGTCTGTGAGATAACAAGAGAAGAAAGCTTACCTGGTTGGTCATAGGATGCCCACGCTAGGTTTTCTCCACATTTTCCATTAGCAGACTCGGAGCTGTGTTTGAGCACCCTCGTGGTAGCCAGTTCTTCTGCGTACCTAGCAGAGGAATCCACACATGGAGTCATGGACCACAGCCACAGCGAGCAGAGAGGAGGAGAAGGAGGAGGAAGAGGTGGAGATGCAAGCAAGGAATTTTGCTGGAACATGACGGTTTAAGCCAAGTTACTCAGTTGCAAAGCCCTGAAGCCAGGGACATTTTAAGCTTACATAGATCTAGGAGTTAGGCAAAGGGAAGGCCTAGAGGCCATTTTCCCGTCTTTCATGAACATCTGTGTCACTGCTGAGAAGGGCCTAGAAGAAATCAAAGGGCAGATCTCCCCCTACCGGGTGTTCTGCCCAGCACCTGGAAATCCACTGGGCATCCTTAGCTGGGGAAAATGGAAGTACCTGCAGCCATTGCTACAGGTGTCACCTCCTGTCATTTCTAGGCCCCTCACAGGAGTAATTTATGTTCTTGATGAGATAGAAAAAAAGACAGGAGTGTGGATTCAGTCAAAGCAAGTGTAAAAAACCCTACATTTACACATGAAAAAAAGCCAAATGCAAAACAAGAGCAATGTGCCAGGCCACAGTACAGAGGAGAAGGGGACCACATGGAGAATCTGAGGCAACAACTGTGTACACCAACATAGGGATAAGCAGCACTGTTTCTATAGAAGTTGACATGTGTGAGAGCGTGGGATGTGTTTTATTGTCTTACAACAATAGGGTTAAGAAGAACATCATGTGTAAAACAATTATTCTCTTTATTCAACACTGGAGAGGCTTCAGTACAGAGAGTGAAATTGGAAAGACTATTTGCGATTTCTCACGGCACAAGAAATAGGAGGCAAAACACAAAATTGTCAGGTCATAGATTTAGAAGTCATGTAAGACAAAGCATTTTTTTCACACTGTGCAGCAGATGTCATTGCCACAGGACAATGCAGACACCAAAGCGCATAGGGGTTTGAAAAAGAGCTAGACAAATTTACAGTGTGTGTGCGTGTAATCTTCAGGAGTAATTAAACAACAGCAAAAAAAAAAGTGAGGATACAACCTACTGCTTAGGAAAAACATAATTTCCAGGAGAATTCTGTCATTTCTGGGAGAAGATAATGGGGGAAGGATCACCACAGTTGTTTTGTCCTGCTTCTCCTTCCCTAATCATGAATTACTGTCCTGCCAGACAGGAAATTTGTCCAGCTGAACATTTTGGCCCAAGCTAGTATGTCAGTCATTAGGTTCTCATTTCCTTCTGTCCTACTCCTCTCAAAAAACCAAAAAAAAAAAAGGCATTTAATTACCTCCATTAATTTTGAAATCCCGAAAACTTGCCCGTTGTCAATCTGCTAGATCCTGAACGAGGATCTGCAGAAGTCCTTCATGCCCAATATTGCTACAATCCTGTAATTTTTCTCTTCAAGGATTCCCCCATCCCAAGCATGAGAAAAGACTGGAACAAAGTACACACTGCACACAGACGTAGTTGCCAAGGATTTGAGACAAAGGGTGATTAATTCACTCTAGCTCAGGCAGTTGAAAGCATGAGATGTGCATCTGAGATCATCACCCTATGCTTCATTACAGTCAGAGATAAACAGGCACCTGCTGAGGGTGACTCATCTCATGCTGAAGCAGGGATCCAACAGTTCATCTAACTGTTCATCTAACCTGTTGCAATTATTGGAACTGAAAATGGCAGGAAACAGACCATTTTCAACACACACAGAGAAGCACGGAAAAGTACCCAGAGATACACCAGATACATACCGACAAGGATATTGGATATACCTAAAGAAAAGGTGAAGTTCTTTAAATTTAAGATCATGCAAAATCTGTCTTGACAAATAAACAGATTTCTTACATTTCATGTCTTCTATTCAAATCCAACCATTTCTGGTTCTTGCTATCAACCAGTTTCACCGCTCTCTGAACATGTGCCTTTTAATTCTTACAAGTTAAGCTACAGACCGCAACCAAAGGTTTCCCATTGTTACTCATCATAGCAAGGAAAGTCAGCTGAGACCAGAGAGGAGTGTGAGGAATTCAAGAAGGACCTAAAAATACTCAGCAAGAGCAACAGCACACTTTGAGATAAATGTGGAGCAATGCCTATTTGATAGAATAATCTGAACTATTCATACAAGTTGACGTGTTCAAACCAACTGTAGCACTTTGGAGACCTAAGAAGGGCTATTGACAAGTCAATGAAATTTCTTCCTCCTTGTGAGGCATCATGTAAAACAGAAACAAAACAACCCTTTGAAGAACAGAAGGAAAACCCCAGCAGATTACAAAGGCATGTGGATGAGTCACTGGCATTCCATCTCCTAGAAATACTGTATCCAGTTATTATTGGTGTCTCAAAGGAAAAAAAAAAGTGAAAAAATAAAGACAGAATCAGATTTTGCTTCCTGGCAGAGGGCATGCCCGCACGCCACGTACATGGTGTGCTGTACAGCACAACACCAGGCATAGATCTCTGGTCTAGGAGTGCAGGAGCTGGTGCATCTGTGTGGCAGCGCAGCACCGTGCTGGGACAGTAAATCGAGTTCTGGGAAGGCTCACAGCCTCTCTGGCTCCCAGCCAGCCGGCACAGAGGAGTCTACACAGTTATGGTAGAAAGCCTATTGGGAGATGAGATCTCATCTCTGCAGGAATCAAACTGGCCACTCTTTAGCTGTTACGGACATTTATTTTCCGAATAGTTTAATCAGCATTTACTCCGTCAGGTATCTCCTGTGTACTGTGAGGATCAGCCTGAAAAAACCTGAAGATTTTCAAATCTACTTTGAAAGAGGTTGCTGTAAAGGGAAAAGGAAATAATCTGGTTGTCGTGTGTACAGCAAAGAGGTCAAGCAGTATTGGACTCAAATTTCCGTAAGGAAAACCTAAGTCAGACAGCAGGAAGATGGATCCACTGTACATTAGACTGGCAAGAAGTTGTGCAGTCTTCAGCACTGGAGAAGAGGTAAGATGCATCCTGCCTGACAGACTAGAGAACAACGTATACTGATTTTGCCTTTGGGGCAGGGAGATAGACAATTTGACCTGAAATTACTTCCTTCTGATTCTGTTGATCTGAGACCAGGCATCACTTCCTACCATGAAGAAGTTCTTTTCTCACTATTTCAGCAGCAGTGGATATTCTCCTGCAGATGACAATCCATCACCTTTCAGAGGAGGTGGCGAAGCATGTTTTAGGCAGCTACCCTCTGCAGAGGAGACACACCAGTGTAGACAGATGCAGCCCACATCTGGAAAAGGGTGCAAGAAAGATTTATACGGTTGCGACCACAGAAGCAATGTCCACATGACCAGCTGGTGCTACGTGATGGAGAAAGAAGGGTCAGAAAGGGTTGGGTAGGGAGACAGAAAGAGTAGAGTCCCTCACTTTTCACCCAGCAAGTCTTCATGGAATATCAGCAAGTGAAAAGGCAAATATTTTTGCAGTATGCACAGTCAAACCTAATGGATAAAAGTGTCACAGATCTCAGAGAAAAGAAAGGACTGAACTCACTGTTGGGCTCCTCTGTTTAACTTCTTGCAGAGTTTTAATGGGGGGACTCCGTGTTTCTTCCTGTAGTCATTGTGTGCTTTCAAGACTTCTTCAGCAAATTGTTTGGAAGCTGAAATCACATCAAAAAATTGGAAAGGTCTGTCAAATACAGACATTAGTGAAGACAGAAAAAGCATAACCCGTAGCCAAGACGCTGGTCCAGCCTGGACTGAAGAACAGAAGAACACCACCCTGGTTACCTGAGAGTAGGATGAAATGAACCGTTAATGCCTTCCATCCAGGAACTAACTCTAAGAGGCACTCCTGCTGGGATGGTACAGACTCACTAAAGGTTGAAGAAAAATGTAAACTGTATTCCTTTCCTGAGTAGCAAGGTGATTTAAGGTTAGTTTGACTGACTTGCCTTTTAAGATTTCAGTGCACTGCATCACCATTGCAAAGAAGTCTCAGAATAAGCGACACATACGTCTCTTGAGGAGATGCACTAACAATGCAAATTATTGTCACTGCATGCAAGAATTTTCTGTATTAGTCAAGACACCACCTAAAGAAAACAGAGATACTAAAACGCACAGAACTATCCAAATACTTTGAAACATGCACCATTCTTTTTATTCATTATATAGTACAAATTCATAGAAGTCTCAAAATGCACCTTTGTTTGGCTCAAGACAAATAATTGTTCACAAACAGCAAGTGGTAAGGAAAGAAATGGATGATTTTTTCTGCCCTGTGCTAGAGTGCATTTGGTAAATATCTGAATTCCAAAGTTACTGCAAAGCTCTAAAAAAGCTCCTGTTTGTACCCTGATAAACATGGGACTTGCAGCAGCACAAGGCAGAGAACAAGCAACAAGTCACCGTGCAATTCACCTCAATGGCAATTTCATGTTACCTCCTTTTATGACTTTGCTGATTTTTTTCCCCAAGAATCACAGGAAAAAAAATATATTCCCTGGCACTGGTCACCCTGTGGAATTTGCTGCTTTAAGAGAAACTTGGAACCTGAAACAGGGTATTGGGGCAGAAAAACAGGTTTCACTTTCTCTGTATTGCTGAAGCTTCTGAACAGGCCAAGACATCTTTGAGCATTTACTCCACTTTTACGGTGATACAGGTTTCTACATTCATTAACGATACATCAGCTTTACTTCTGAATATGCTAATTAGCACGACTACCGTCATTTTCCTTGTAAGACGCTTTTGAAGCCCAAATAGACCTCATGACTAGAAAGTGTTTCCTGGTATTAAGCTCAGCTTTCTCAACTTCCTCTTGCCACTCGATCCTAACAGCTATAATCAATCATTCTCTCCCTCGTTAGCGTGTACACTATTCTGCTGTTTGGAATGATGCATTTTCCCACAGCAGAGCTGTCAGTTTGCACATATTGCTCTCATAACTTTTTCCTGAGGTGATTACCCAACCCACGCTCATGCTTTAAGCTGTTCTCAGAGTTCTCTCCAGTTTCCCCAGCAGCTTTAGGATAATACAGTAGCCTCAGATAATCTCAATATCCAATGCACACAGAAAGCCATGACGCAGTACCTTAAACCTTTTGAACACAGTCTGAAGTTGGGTTGACCTTTTCCAGACTAAAGTGTCATTGTGGACACATATCTAATATATTCTCCATCAACATTGATTTTTTTTCCATATATAATTGTTGGCATAAGACAGCAACAGGAACCCTGTTGAGAGCGAGATGCGATCTGCCCACCACCTTCCTTCTCTTAGGTTTTTCTTCAATTTTGTGTGTCACAAGTTGCATATCATCAAACAAAACAGGCACCTCAACTCTGGTGCTTAAGCACCCACACACCCTTTTGCTAACAAGCCTGTCCCATCACTCTTACTGCCATCGCTCACAGCTCACTGATTCTATCCGCCCAGAGGCCTAAACCTCTCATCTGCTGCATCAAGCAGGGCTTCTAAGATGCCTGTTTCTAAGACATCTCCCATAGGTCACTGAGGAAAGCAAGCCTACAGCCTGTTCACTTAACTTCACTGATGCAGGGGCCCATGCTTCCAGCAGGAAAATGTTACGACAGCCTGCAAATCAAAGCAGTTGAAATACACGGCTTTGGAAGTTGCCTCACATGCTCCAGGCTGCGTTTTTCTCCATGAGGCCATCTTAAAGCTTGTGGCTGTTATCACCTAGACTTAATATCTCATCCCCTCAGCATTAAATAGTAGATAAACAATCTGACCTGCAAGTGTGAAAGTGTCTATTCTAATTATTTGTTCTCAAGGACAACAACAAATTGAAATTTAAAAAAAAATAAAAAAAAGTTAGCTGAAATACAGGCTTTGTCAATTGTCAGTCATTACAGCATCACCCAGCTCCATCCTAACATTTTGACTTACAAAGACCAACAAGACATGGACAAAACTGAGTTTCTTCTAGGCACGGCAGGCACCGCTATGCTGTCCCTAGAGAACCTCCACCCCCCCCTTCCCTCAAAGGTGGCTGCTATAGAAACGCTTATCTACCGTGACTCAAGCTCATGTGCTAACCGCCTCCCTCTGCACAGCTTCTCTCGCGCATGCTGATGTGTGGAGAGGGACACCCAACTGCCAAATGTATTTCAGATTTGTTTTGGAAGACATGTTAAGTTTTTTCCATTTTACCGATGTTCCATACACTGAGAAGCCAGACATTAAAAGTGAGAGTTAACAGGAGTTTTCAGGCTCCCACCCAAATGGGAACCGCTTCCCAAACAGCTTTGGAGACGTACTTTTTTCCCTTCATCTAGGTTGCTTAAGCTGCTAAAAAAAAAAATTATTTCCTACTGCCAGGAAGCTAGGTTTGGTCACGAATCATTACACAGCTTAATAAGTAAAACAACTAAAGGTATTAGATACACTTGCTTGCTTCTCATTATTCAATTATTTACCTCTATTTTAGATTCTCCTGGAACATTGGCTAAGATAATGACAGCACGTGACAATGAATTTCCAGGCTATGGATGTGGTACAGAGCACACCTTACAGCTGTTATGTTTTTGGACTTTCAGTTTCATTGATCAGCTTTGTCTGACCACAGAAAAGTAAGCAGAGGCATCTAGGTTGCCTTTCCCCATCAGATTTGTTTTTCTGAGTATTCTATTTCTCCATTCTCTTATTCTCTCTAAACAGTGCCAATCTATTCAGTCTCTCCCAAGTGAAGAGCTCTTCGTGCCCGAATCCCTCCTGCCTCTTCTTTGAACCCTGTTGTCTCCTGCTCTGTTCTTCCCTTACTTTGGACATCAGAACAGAAGCAAGTTATCTTCCACAATACTAGCTGCTCTGCATCATCTTTGCAGCCAACTGGACCTGCTCCACTGGTCTTGCAGAACTGCAAGATGATGTGTGGAAAGGGTAACAGTAAAATATTCCACAAACTCTAACACGAAACCTCTCCACCCAATACCTCCACAACGGAAATGCTGTGGGCAGCCCTCATGTCACCACTCAGGACATACAACATTATACCAGCCATACACTTGACTAGCAAAAAGGGCATACTTTTCATGATCAAGTATCCACCCCAGTGATTCCAGAAAGAGCATAGTATACATTTCTAGAAGCATCCTTGTCTTCTCAGTGCTCTCTGTCTTATTGTTTATGGATAAATCTTCACTGGCAATTTTGTACTTTCCATACATACTATTTTTTTCTGTTTAGCTTTCAGATAACTAACATAACACAGTCAACAAGAAATGGACTTGATGTAGAATCCTACATGGAAATGTACCATTCTGCTTGTCTCAATCCTTCTTTGAACCATGACATAGGCCTCAACTCTTCACCCAATGTGTGTAGGTGGAGATAATGACCTCAACTTTCAATTCTGCCCCAAAATAAATAATTAGACATGTGTTTGTATAATGGCTAGAGCAACATACCTGAAGAAAGCTACAAAATACACTTCAAAGGACTCACGCTTTTGGAAAGAGGTAAATGCAAAAGCCTGATACCAACAACCTTGGCATTTTTTTGGCAGAAAGAAGCCAAGCAGCAGAATATATGCAAAGGACACAAATGCAAAGAAAACCCATAAGAAGGTAATCGGGTAACTGTTCAAACACTGAGTGTAGCTCTGCTTTAATACTGAAATCTCTTCAGCCTCCCTTAACTCTTCAGAACTGCTCTACCCTACTCTGATAGCAGCAATGGGGCGTGGAATGAGCATGTGGCAGATACAACTTCAAATATGCCTGACAGCTTTGTGAGCAATGGGGCGTGGAATGAGCATGTGGCAGATAGATACAACTTTAAATATGCCTGACAGCTTTGTGAAAAAAAAATGGTTCGAGGCTTCAGGGAACTGCAGTGTAATTACATCAAGAAGTCCTTTATTACTGTCCCAGATAGCTGAAGATGACTATTTCGAAAAACTTGTTGAAGTATATGAACAGATTGGAAACAAACAAAATTCTTGAGTAGAAGACATCCCAGCTTCTCATGACTGCATTTTCATCTAGACCTTTCTGAGATACCTGACATATTATTAATTATCTTTATCAATAATCTTTACCCTCACTTGAAATGTCATTCCCTGGGCACTATCCCCAGCTGAATCTTTCACACGCTGAGAATAACGTTCCTTCAATGGGGAAGCCACAAGTATTTAACGGCCATGAGAAACGCTAAGAGGACAGTTATGGCTCTACTGCATTTTGACTCAGCACTTTGGTTTGAAGTCACAGAGGCTCCAGGATGGTGTGACACCGGTTGGCCTCTGCAGTGCCAGAGGGAGGGGATATTCCATGTGTTCGAATACTCCTCCGTATTTGACTGCACCTTCTTGCTCCCCATTTGGGACAGCAACATCTTCAAAGACTGGCCCTTAATGCTATTCCTAAATATGTCATTTGGGAGCACAGATCTCATGCTCCAATTCATGAATCACTTCCAGCCATAAAAACTGACTTCCCTCAGTGCTAACCTCCCCTGTACCCTTAACAAAACTGGCTGATTGCTTGGAAACATACAGAAGAAATGAGATCACATATACATCCTGGAGGGAAGGACCGATAAAATGATCCTATCTATTCAGAAAGCATTATATCCTGGGTGGGGTTTCTTTGTCTTCTTTTACACCTTTGAACCAAGAATTCAAGAAAGGGG